TTACTTAAAATTACTTTTACAAACTCTGTTTTATATTTATTTATTTATGCAAGTTTATATTTTTAATGTAAATCAAACCAAACAAAAAGTCTGAACAAAATTTCTTTGTTAGTTGATAACTCTTTAACACGACTGGGTAGTCGAATTTTGACTGATGAGAGTTATTTACATATTTCAATATACACTTTTATATTCTATGTTGTGATGTGTATAAGTAAGTTTTCGTCAAAATTACGCCCAATGGTGTTAGGGACAATAAGTGGCGGGTAATCAAGAACTCCCTACCGGTTAAAAGTGAACACTGCAATATTCTATTGTTTTTCTAATTAGTAGGGTATAATACTATGAGAAGCTTCTAGATAATTTTTGTTACAGAAAAGGTCTCGATAGTAATTTGTTTATATTTAAAAATGTTATATTATGTGTAATTAATATACTTGAACGCGTGGGAGCACAGTCATACTAGTCTTGTGTAAATATACTCTAATAGCTGTTTAATGTAATAAAATTTTAAGAACTAAATTATAGTTTATATTCCACGTTTCCTTATTCCATTTGTGTTGTTGTTGTTCCACTGTAGAAATAACAGGAATTTAAATTCCCCGTGTAATTTTAGATATACAGAAATTTAACAACTAACTAATGTTGTATGGGAGAAATCGCCGCCATAGCAATAAAGACGCAGATTTAGATTTTAGCAGCAGTACTCCTTGTGAGAGAGCTCGTCCAGGGAAGTACAGCCACCATACCTATTCCAAGGAAGGTGTAATGTGAGCTTTACTGCGTCAAGTAAGGGTGTAGATGCATGTAGCACACGGGACTCGCCAACTTTATGCCTCGTGGTGACGTATGCAGGGGCAGTGTCCCTTAGACCTTTACAATCTAAAGTACTGAGCAGCACAAGCGAAGGTTTCTAAGATTTGAATTTGAATACCGAGCGTAGCGAGCATTTCAAGGCATGAGACGCAAAACAACTTCGCTGCCGAGCGAAACACACAACTTTTCACCTCACTGTAGCGAGGAAAATGGTAGATGAAATAAAAACAGATGAACTATAACAAATCAGTTTTTCATCACCGCTAAACTCAGACCTGCTCATGTTTTGTTTATTTTCAATTTATTACAGTACAATCAATCCAAAGTATTGAAATTGAAGTGATTAAAATGAAAATTTGAAAAAAATACGTTTAGTTTGGGTGCGTTCATACGTTTTCTTCTTCTTTGTATTATTATTTTATGTGGTTAATGAAATTATTTTAGTTCTCCGACAAATTAAAATAATCCAATAAAACAAAATTAGTGTTATCGTTGTCAATTTAATGTCAACAATAATAAGAATAAATTATACCAACGGATTAATATTATATAAATACTTAATGTACTTATGACGAATCGCATTTCGGAACACGTCACTATTTTTTTTAGTCATAAGAAAAAGTTTATCGGATGCGTTCTGAATTTGCAACTCATCATTTTTTATTCTTGCTTGTACTTATAATTTTGTGTGATTATTGAAATTATTTTAGTTTTCGACGAATTAAAATAACTTAATAAACAAAATTACCGTGGTCAATTTAATATCAACCATAATAAGAATAAAATATACCAACGGATCTAAATTACATAAAAAATGTACGACAAATCACGTAGTTTCATTATGATTTTTTTTTCATCGAAAGAAAAAGTTACTGGAAAGACTGGATGAGCTGGGCACAAGATCGCCAAGAGTGGAAGAAGAGGGAAGAGGCCTATATTCAAGATTGCATAGATAACAAAACGGTCACCATGATGATATGATGATAATATAATCAAAATATACAAAAAAATATACATATTAAATAATCATATACTTAACGTTTCGATGAACAGTTATCGCAATTACCATAACAATAAACGTGTAAAACAAACAACGTCTTATAAAAGCATTGGAGTATGACCATTGAGTTATTTAGAACGTAAGTCGGTATTAGAGAAAATTAACTCATCCAGTTCGAGGTCTTGGTTAATTAATTAGTAGAGTAACTGTGCAATACGAGGGGCGGGTGTTACCTTGGAATGCGAGAGAGCTTAAAAACAAAACGCAACAATCTACTACTAATAACCAAAGAACAAATTCAAGTTATCCCTTAAGAAAATAATAGAAACATAGCTTTGCAAAGTTACAAATATTTTTTGTTTTATAATACCAAGTGACGGGACGAACAAGTCGTGCGCCTGATAATACCAAGTGACGGGACGAACAAGTCGTGCGCCTGATAATAAGCTACCTGTCCACAACAGTTGCGGTGCCACGGTGCTTTAAATCGCAAAGATCTGAGGGACACTGTCACTGCGCCCGTCATCCTGAGATATAATTTGTCTAGTCCCATATGACAATTCCCAATTTTACCAAATTAACTACGGTTTGTTATTTATTGGTTTTTGTCATTGACTCCACGAGAAAAAAGTTACAAATAAACATACTGATAAAGTGTACAACTAACATACGCACGCACGCACGCACGCACGCACGCACGCACACACGCACGCACGCACGCACGCACTCACGCACGCACGCACGCACGCACGCTCCCAGGCATGCACACACGCACGCACGCACGCACGCACTCACGCACGCACGCACGAACGCACGCACAGTATTGGTCAGAGTAACGCATGCTCACACACATCGTACAAATACAGTTATAAAATAAGGATTACAATTCAAATGCCGTTATTAACGAAATTCCTAATTTACAAAAACTTTTATGTAAAACTTAAAAGACACCAACTAAATATTACATATTATAAAAATAAATATTAGAAATAAATGTCTTCATTAATAATTCCCGGGAAATTGCATAATTATTCCGCTAAACTATTTTATTATGTGTAATGTATACAACATTCCTTTGAGTCCTTCACACCTCATAGAGTGCACACTGCGATATTATGGTAGGTACTAGAATAATGCAGTCAAATTATGAATTATGCTGAATGGGCAAAGGTTCTACTTAACTATAAAGCGTATTTAGTTACTAAGAGGTATATAGTATAGTATAGGCCCGTGAAATATACAGTGTTTTTCATCACATTTGCAAGTTTATAGTAGGGTTGCATGCAGGCTAACTTGACTATAATGCCCCAAATAAAACCTTCGGGACCTTTTTTTCTCATTACAGCGATGGTCGTGTAATATAGTCAAGTTAGCCTGCATGCAATCATACTATTTACGTGCAAGTGTGATGTATAAAATATTACATATTCGAGGAGGTGAATTTAATGGTGCATCCATTTCCACATCCATCAGAGCACTCAAAAAGGCCAAAATCAATTAAGAGTTTTAATTGCAATTTTAAGCATATTTTGAATTATTTTTTATAATATCAAGTGACGGGACGAAAAAGTCGTGGATGGTAAGTGACACGCCTGTTCATAACAGTTGCAGTCCCATTCATCGGAGGGGCACTCGCGCCCGCCACCTTGAGACATAAGTTAACAAGTCTCACGTGCCTGTAATTTCAACAAATTGAATTGAATCGAATGAATTTGAATTTATTGAAATAAGGTTCATTTTTATCAAACGTGTAGATATTTTAAGCACTTTAAATTTAGCGTCCGAAATGTTGGATTTTGGATGAACGCAATTTGGATCCGAAAAACAAGTTACATTTCCTTAAAAAAGGTACGACTTTAGTTAAGTTGTGCGCATATTCTTAAAAATCAAAAATAAATTTGACGAAAGTCCACGAATTCACGCTGCAATCTTCAATTGATTTCATATATTTCATACAGTCATTGACATAAGGTTGATCTTTATCATATTAATTTCACAATTCAGATAATTTTAACGCTGACTGTACTACTGGGGCTGTAACAATTATATTTGATTATTATGTATATTAACTTTAGACAAACTAGATCAATTTATATGTACTTAGGTATACATGCTATTAAGTTAATAAAAAGCAAAAATGAAATGTAACAGGAAGTAAGAAAAGTTAAACAATCGGAACTAAATGTGGTTAACCTCAAGCGTCAAAATTCCTTGACTTTGCAACATTGACAAAGTCAATATGAAAGGCGGAGTTAAAATTAATGCAAAGGTACAAAATAATCTGATAAATTTGATACCTCATTTGCATAAGAATGCAATATAGATTGTTAATATCATTGCTGGTTGTGTAATTCCTTGTCGCTAGAATTTAGCGTAAAATATCGACACATTGTAATGAAACGGTGAATTATAAAGTCTTATTATAATAGTGCAGATTACCCCACCAGGTCTCAAACTATGAAATTGCCTCCGGGGCATCACCCAGAACACCTAGACCAAGAGCAATTTAGATGTTAGGTTAGTGTTTCTTCATTAATATTTCTTTTATATTTTTATTTATTCTGCCGCCGCGCCGTTAGTTGAAAGGACGCATGTAATTTTTTTTAAATTATGTTATGTATACTGTCATGATCAGTAAAAAAGGCCGAATTTTTTCCTAGGTGGATAAGGTATTAAGTTAACGTTACCGTAAGTTACAAGAGAAAAGGATATATTTTTAACTTCATTTCTTTAAGACGGCAGTCCTAGACAGTGGGGACCGAGCAAATAACACAGAGATTACGCAATCAATTTACATTCACAAATTCAGCTGTAACAACTTAATTAACAAGTCATTAAAGTCATTATTTGACCGCGTAACTCTATCACAATTACCTACTCATGTATGTATTGTTAACTCTATAATGTATACTTTGAATCATTGACATACATCTACATGTACAAACGGCAGTACATCAAACTACACATTGACAGATCTTGTTCCATTGTGCTGGAGGCGATACTCAAACAAAAGTGTACAGCTTGATGTGTTGTTGACTGTACATAAATACAAACTAGTTGGTTCTTCGGGAGCAAAATTTGCAAGTAAATCGGGGAAACCATCCGTGTATTAGAAAAATGCACTGGTTTTTGGAATAATTAAGCATTGGTATAAATAGTAAAGTATTTTGGGACAATTGTACAGTGTACTTCGTTCGCTCACTGGAATAGCTTGTTGGGAAAGATGAATTCATTTTTGGCGGTAATTGTCTTTTGTCGAGAGCATTCTAGGGAAAAAGTTCCTTGAACATACAGTCGCTGCTTGGGGAATGTATAAAAAATCATGTTTGTCGTACTGGTAGACACAGATTCTTTCCAAGAGCTGATTTAGTAAGAAGAGTTTTGAGTACATTCTCCGAGATTATTCTCTCGTACATGTTTTCTTCCAAATTAAGAGAAGTGATAACCTGGTGGGGGAACGGTTGCTTTACAATGGAAATAAAAGAGAAACACGTACATTAATTTCTAAATTACGTTAATGTTTTGTATATAATACCTGGCACTAAACGTGCAGGAAAACCTTTTCATGAAACCTGCAAGTCGAAAACGTGTGGCGTTCCCAACCCGCATTGGCCTAGCGTGGCGAACTCGTACCCAACATTGGCGCATTTCATTGATGATAATAGTAAATTATCTAATCTGCCTATCATTAGAAAAAAATCTTGAGAAGGGTATCGAACTTGCAACCATTTCTTAAGAAGTCACGGGGCGTTCCATTGGACCAATTTGTTACTAGTTTCAGTGGTGTTTATTTTAATAAATATTTGTATCTTCTTTAGATCTCTTGCCTTTTGGCATTGATTGCTGCGGTGTCGGCATACCCCCACTCGTTAGGACTTGCACCCATCGCCACCATCGACAGCATTGTGAGTAAACATTTCGGTTATTTATAAAAAAAAATACAACATTTTGGGAAAAGAAACTTTGGTATAGAATTCAAATTTAGACGGCGAACTCGAAATCGTCTAGCACTAGCATTTGGTAGCAGTAGAGTTCAGGGAAGTTCTGCCATCATACCTATTTACATACATACATGTGAGCATTACTGCGTTCCGGTTTCGAAGAGTAAGTTTACTGGTGAAATTTCAGGCACATACGAGTAGGACTTGTCAACTTATGTCTCAGGGTGACAAGCGCAGTGGCAGTGCCTCGAAGATCTTTGCAATTTAAAACTAGAGTGGCGCTGCAACTGTTATGTTATTGAGCCTTGTAGCTTACCACCAGACACACGATTTGTTCGTCCCCTCATTTGATATTATACAAGACCTTGGTGGCCCAACGGTTTATACTGTGGACGCTGGATTAGAAGATCCCGGGTTCGATTCCCAGTAGGACCAAATTGGAAAATGATATTTTATAAATTGGTACTGGTACTTAAAAGTTTAGCAGCAGTCGCGCGAGTTGTTCTTCCCGTGTCTTGATATCATTAAAAAAAATGTTGGAAGAATTACACCAACCGTTGAATTTTGCGAGAAAGACAGAGACAAACAGCGTAATAAATAAACCAATCTCGACCATCAGTATTGATAATAAAGAAATTCCTTTGCAGCCGAACCCGAACTACGGTTTTGACTACGCAGTAAACGACCCAATTACCGGCGACAATAAAGCACAATGGGAACAACGCCACGGCGACGTCGTCAGAGGAGCTTACTCCCTCGTAGAACCTGACGGCAACATCCGTAAGGTTGAATATACCGCGGACCCTATTTCCGGATTCAACGCTGTTGTAACCAGAACTGGCCCTAACGTGCATTCTATGGGCTTGCCTATCGCAGCACCTTTATATTCGAAAGTAGCTCCTATCGTAGCACCAATTGCGCCGATTGCCCCAATGCCGCATTTTACCCCAATCGCGCCATTACATACAAAAATAGTAACCCCAGTACTTGAACCAATCATAACTCACTATCCAGCATTAAACATCCTCCCAATTCTACCCCCGCCATCTCCATGGGTTCATCTGTCTGGTTCCTCTTATGGTTATAAAGGAAATCTCGAAAGGAGATGGGATGCTGGCCCTATCTCTTTGGACGGCAAAACTCTGACAATTAGAACGAAGCATTAAGTGAAATAAATATACAACTTCTACATGTAACCTATCTAGTTACTCAAGACGCTAGTGTCTTATTGCATAGTCATTAGACGTGCAAAAATACACATAGGTCTTGTTAGAAGTTAAGTTTATGGGTTTATTCCAAAGCAGCGAATGTACTGAATTTGTAAATAAAAAAAAATTATATAAATACGGTACTTTGTTTTAATATAACTATGTCCACTAAAAGATGACTTTTGACAAATGACGCTCAGCGCATAAGTGGTGGAACCCACATTCAATTATTTTTCTAGAACATTACTTTAATGATATTAAAGTTCATAATTATTTTAAATTTGAATGGTATTTTGACGTATAAAAAAAAAATAATTGAATACTTTCATAAACAAAAAATAAAAAATTAAAAAGTTAATTTTTAATAATAAGACTGGAGACGAAGTGGTAGAAAAGAGCAGCCAAGTTTTTTTGACAGGGTGTCTCACGGCTA